TGGCATTATTCTTTCGTCTGCACACTTCACCATTTTGCTCGAATGGAATGTGTGGTTTGATAAAAATGTTCATGATGAAATTAATGTTGTGCCAAAGTAATTTTCTTTAACCTGCGAGTCTCTTGAATATCATTTGCAAAAATAATTATGTTGAACTTCATTAAAATCGAAAAAAGTCCGAATAATTACACATATGCAATTATTACATGTTCGTTGAACTCTGAAGTAGTCAAAATATTGCCAGCCGAGTAGAGATACATTTCCCTGTGGGTTTCATATTTCCGCAAATTATCATTTTTTTTTCTTTTCTACAGTAACATAAGAAAAAATATTTCCGTATTTAATATCGTTTACATTTGGAAAATACTATCAGGAATTGAACTTTGCATATTAAAGCTTTGAAACTAAATGCATTTTTAGTTGAAATCGACAGATTTATCAGTATAAATAATAAATTCTTAAAAACAATATGAAATACATCTACTTTGCTATATACTCTTATTACACAAATGAATTTTTCAAGATTGTTTTTTTTCTATCAACTAATCAAATTAATAGACAACGAAATTTTTTTATTTCATTTATTTCATGTTGAGTCTTTTCTGAGTTAATGCATCGGGGCACTTTTACTCTTTGACTGTTGGGGAGTTCCTGCAGAGTCTCACACTACTCACTGACTATGTATTCCTTCGTGATTATTCGATGACTTGTATAAGCTAGTGCTGAGATTAGCTAGATTAGCCTGTTCCCTACTAATGACTCTTATGTATTTTTTGACCTGGTCTATTCTAAGGTGTCTTAGCATGTCATTTGTGCGGATGTACGAAGGCACTTTGAAGAGTCTTCGGAGAGTCTGACTTTGAGCAACTTGCAGTTTCTGTATAGTAGAGTTGTCGACTTTGCTATACGCGACTGAAGTTTCACTAACAATACACAATAACGTCTTTCATTTCTTGATATAAAATAAAAATATTTAATAATTTTTGTTTCGTGCAGCTATGGCTTGTTCGATTAATATTCGTACTAGTCATAGTTTCAAATTTGAGGGGCTCAGAGTTCTAATGAATAGGTCAATAAATACTACGGACTTATAAATCTACTAATTTCAAACACCACTGATGATAAGTATTAAGCGATACTTGAAAGACTAGTTGTATGTTTAACCAGAAGAAATTCAATCAATTATATATAATAAAGTAAAAGAAATTAAAATTAAAGGAACGATAAATAATACTAAGCAAATTTTGCACATAAAAATTTATTTACCTTTCGCTGCTATTTCAGGAATTGGAATTTATTAATTAATATATTTTCTATATCCATTATTTTGTTTAGTAATATTTAGTAATATATCAAATCACCATTTCTGGGAAATACTTGCAAGACCGTGAAAATAAATGAGTTTCTACTTACATCAAAACTTCACTCATCAATTTCACTCACCAATGTACTCTTAAAAGTTCAAGAGAGAGACTATAGCTTGGGTTACACTGTTTGCTTCCTCAGAAGAAATTTCAAAGCATTCTCATTAGCATACTTTGTGATATGTTATAGCTCGCTCGGCTCACTTCGCGATAAACCTGTTCACACAGCAAATCCTAATTTTATAATAACTTTGTTTCTCTAGGTGTACTCACAGAAGAAACAACCAAAAGAAGATTTTGTTGCGGCGAACTTTTCTTTTTCTTTGCTTTAACATAAGAGCATTATTATTGCATTCACAATTGTACTATTGTGAATAAGGAATATAATTTTTGCTGTGAATTGTGATATTTTAAATTTTAATGTTAATTTTGGTTGTCGGACTTGTGTGTAGATTTGGATTGTAACTTTAACTTAATTGTATACAAATTACACTGCAAACTTTAAATATCGTCTTTTGAGAGGAATAGATTTGTGATTTTCATATTATATTCTCATTAGTGTTTTGATTTTAATACCAGTGAACATTTCGATTGATTTGTGAATTCGTTAGCAAATCAAGTTGAAATGAAAAAAATTTATATAAAAATATTAAATATTAATATTGATATTAGTATAAAATTGTATAATCAACAAAATCAAGTTGATGTCAACTCACAGTAAACAATTCACAATAGTGGAATATTATACTATTATGAGTAGTTTCCAGAAATGAATAAAATGTGCATGTTAAGTGAGACAAAACTGTTATATTTCATAATTAAAGTATAAAATAAATATTTTATTAAATTAGTGGAAACGTTTATTGTTCATATAAACAAAAAATTCTTTTAATTACTTCTATTCTAACTTTTTTATGTTTTATTTATTTTGGAACTAAACCCCAAAATATTTCTGTTTAAACTATTTTTTTTAGACTACAGTTAAAATGTTTACAATGATAAGTCGTGAAGACAGTTATTATATTTCTGCTTTTTAATATTAAATGTTACTTTATAATTTCTAAGAGTTGGTATTCAAAGTTGAGTCGATATTCGTGTGAATACAATATAACTTGATATTGTAATTAAATAAGTCGATAGAAGTATATTGAAATCAAAATCTCAATTGCTTGTGCTGTGTGAATAGATTATTAGTTGATTTTACTAGTTGATCTAATGCAAGTGCCAAGTTTTTGGCAAGTTTTGAGTTTTTAAGTGTAAATACGTCTTATTTGCCATTTATGGTATATAATCGAATTTGACTATTTCTAAATGATATTCTATTTGCTGGTGATTTCTTGCCAAGAAGTTGCAGCGAGAATTTTTAACGCAACTTTCTGGCAAGTTAGAGAAAACTAGATATGATAATGAATAAGTGAGAGTAACATACATGCAACAATCACACCAAAAACTTACCAACGTAGACGTAAAATTTACATACCAGATGAATATATTGTTATGCCTAAAACTATGCAAAGAAATTTAATGAAAAATTTTTGAATTTGAAGATTTTCTCGATTAGCGGGAAACCTTGATAGCCTAAATTTTAGTTCATGACTTAATAGACTTTCCAGATGTCAGGCTTTTGAAAATATAATACGAAATGATAGAGAAGAAAGCATTTCCATTACAGAAGTCAATTTATTTAATTCAGTTCATTAAATTTTAATTATTTCATTGAAATTGATTATAGATTATAATATAACTATGCAGGCTTTATTTCATATAAGTGTCTATAGAAACAATGACTAAAAAGTTTTTGGAATAAAGTCAATTTTTTTTCAGTTCTACTATTCTCAACATTCACAACCACTTTTACTAACTGAACCATATCTACTTCGAAAACAATGGGATTTGCTTGTAGAGAGTTCTGTTTACTTTGTTACTGTGTGGGTACCTTTTTAGGATCTCCAATATTTGTTTAAAATGTTTGCTAAGATTATCTGCCCTCAGGAGCTCAATATTCAATGTATATAATATAGAAATTGTGATACTCTGAACTATTGATTTTGGTTATTTAAATTTGATAACAAAGACGTAAGACGATTATTTTCGAAAGTTAAACTAGGAATATATTACACTAAAGCTTTGCCAAAGGTTCTAAATGATTTTAACCCTTGTATTTTTTTAAAAATATGGTATCACAATGGGCCTACAGGCCTATGTGAATCCCTTGGGATCGTCGGTATAACCTAATTTAACTTAATCTAAACTAGGATTAACACACTTAAGGCAATACTGTATAGCTTTAATATTTAATATTAATAATTAGTATATTTATTATTGAATATTAAAAAGCAAAAATAACTGTTCACAGGACGTTTATTGTAGATTGTTTGATGTTTGACTAATGGAAAAATAGTTAGGCTTAATTAAATTTTGAAAAATGTCAAACACCATAATTATTCCAATTGTAGTCTAAAAATAGTTAGTGTTAATAAAAATAATTCGGGTTTGTATATCGAAATAAATAGAATAAAAAAGATAGAATTGCAGTGATTAAAAAAATTTGTAGTTTAGGATCAGAACAAACTTGTCCATTACTTCGATGAAATATTTATTTTGCACTCTAAATATAAAATATGGCGTCTTTGTTTCATTTTGGATGAAAGCTTCTTTCATTCCTGGAAACTAGTCACAATAGCATAATATTTCACTATACAGTATTGTACTACTGTGAATTGCATAAATTGATATCAACTTGATTTTGTTGATTATACAATATAATCCTAATAATAGAAGTTAATATTTCCATAGAAATCCTTTTGATTTCAACTTGATTCGATATCAAAATTACGAATAAGTCGGTATGATAGCTGGTATTAAACACTAAACACTCGTGTGAACACACTATAAAACTTCATTACAACATATTTGTACAGTCTGGCATCATCAATTTTTAGAAAGTAGAAATAAATTTCTTTTCTGGAAGGAAGTTGAATTTTGTTCTAGCTCTTGGTAGTGTGACATTGAGAAGTGGTAATTAATTAAATATTATGTTTTATTAGTTTTATTAGAAATAATTAAAAAAAAAGTGTTAAGTAAATCTAAATCATCACTTCACGTTTTCTTTTTTGAGGTTTAAGCCTATTGCCGACTCTAAACTCTTCAGCTTAAATCCTACTTTCTCATTGTGTTCATACCTGATAACATATAACGTATGTATATATATACATAAATATAATATAAAATATATAATACATACAATATGTGTAATATATATAATATATAATGTATAACACATATAATATATAAGTAATATATTTATACTATTGAAATATTGATTTCACTATATAATATTATAATATAATATAAATGAAATTTTATATTTTTTCACATTAAACAAATTTTTTTATCGATTTATCAAAGTTTTTTTTTATTTTGATAAATATATTTATAATTTTTTCGACACATCAAAAATAACTTTTTATTAACAGATATTTACTTCTAGTTCTTAAAGAGTTTTTCCATATACTTTATACTTTTACATATACAAATACTTATACATATATATATACATATACTTTTACCATATATCATATACAATCAATTTATCGCCTATCTTCTTAATTAATAAAATTTTCTTATTGCTTTCAGACAAACCTTTCCCAAATTATCCATCATGTACCCCAATGATACACCAAATCTTGATCCACGCAACACTGAGTCACCAAATGCAGTTACACAATTTGTTCATCGCCCAACCATTTTGGTAGAGCCAGTCCTGATTCCACGCCCCATATTGCTCATTCCAATAGTATTTAGAAGTCCCTCTACACCAGTTTATCGCTTCAATGGATATGTCCCCGCGCCTGCTATTCCACCTGCGTCACCAATACTTTACTACCGCGCACCCGCAGGTTGTTCGACTGCTCCAAGTGTATCAGTAAGGCAAACACTAAATGCGGCTAATATGACTGTATTAAATACACAAAACAGTCAAATTATGCCACAACCCGCCGACACTGATACACTTCGATTTGCAGCGCCACCCATGGCTGGAGTATACAGCAATATGGTTGTGCCGGTAGTACCAGTTATACCGCTTGTACCGATTGTTCCACCAGTAGTAAATAATGGTATTGGTTTCATAGAAAATAACCAACAAGTGGCACTTCAACAAACACCAGTAACAAGTACTCCAGTAATGGTGGACATGAATGCGTCCATATTGCACAATGCTGACCAATTCTATGCTGCGTCTACCACGCTTCAAGCGGCAGTAATTACGCCTCAGCAAGCAAATATTAACAATCCTTACGTTATGGAAGGTGACAATATTGAAACTGCATTTGAGGACAGCATTTCAAACATCGAATTACCAGATATGGGTCTTCCGGTATTTACAGGTATATTTAATATACCGCAGGCCATTGTCCGTCAAAGCAGTTTATCGGTACCGACTTTGAATTTAGTCGAGGGTTTGCCTACTTTAGCGAATGGTGAAAATGTGTCGCAACCAATACCTGAACTCAACAATTATAACGTTGAGCAGTTTATTGAAGAGTCTGCGTTGACAACTATGCCGTCAAATTTGGATCCAAATATCCATCTAGACATTGAGCAAGCTTTTGCTGATATGTCAATTGAGTCCAATGTAGAATTTGACGATGATATGCCTGGTTTTTCTGGTGGCAGCATGGGTCAGTTGGACGGAGTGGTGATCGCAAATACTGAAGTATCTAATACAAAGTTCAAAATGGTGCTTGATGAACAACTATTTCAACTATTTTACAATAGTGAAATTGATGAGGAACTCGAGGTTGCCGCTGAACTATTTACACGTGACTGGAGATTTCATGGACCTTCCTGCACGTGGTTTAGACGTGACCCAAATAGCAGAGATTTCAAGATAAATGGTTCGATAGTACGTGGTGTTTATGAACTCTACAATACAATAACAGCGTGTGTTGATTTGGTTTACACTGAAATTGACGAGAGTGAATTCGACCACCAGCCTGAGGCCATAAGTCATGAAGTTGTTTTTACTAAAAATGCTGATCAGACTTAACGTTCTTAAAATATGTTCTGTAATATGCATATATTTTTCTACAAGATTTCTTTTACAACAAACAAATAATCATTTCAAAAAAATTTTAAACTATTTTAAAAATTAAAAATTAATAAAAATTGTAATTCAATTGTAAATTTGTTGTTTTTTGCTCCAAAGTCAAGTTTTCAGTTTCTGCAAGAAGTTTAAAAATCAAATAAAGATATAACCTCAGATATGACAAATTGCTGCAAGCTATCGATAACGTGATAAATAAGAACTATTTATGGAAATAAAGTATTAGTGTTGCTGTTAAGCTAGACTTACTTTGTATAGTGACAAAGAAGCTTTATTAAATTTTTAGAAGGGTTTTCGAATAACAAAGAAAGAAATAAAGGACAAACACAAAAATTTATTTTTAATTTTATTGAAGTTTGGCTGACCATACAACGCTGTTTCGAGTATTGCCAAGTACTCTTCATCAGTGGTCTTTCGAAATAATCGAAATTTTATTTAATTAGTTAGTAAATAATAATAAGTGACAATAAAACCTGGAACTTGAGCATTGAAAGTTTGTGCAGCCTTGCCTTCTTGTGGATAAACACGATTAGTCATCGCTTTTAATTTGACAGGCACGAGTTCTAAGCCTGGCACTTGCAGTCCAAACAAATTATATACGGACTATAAACTAATTAAATAAAATTCGATTATTCCCAAAGACCACTGATGAAGAGTACTTGGCAATACTCGAAACAGCGTTGTATGGTCAGCCAAATTTCAATAAAATTAAAAATAAATTTTTGTGTTTGTCCTTTATTTCTTTCTTTGTTATTCGAAAACCCTTCTAAAAATATTTATGGAAATATTATATAAAAATACTTTAAATATGCATAAATTAAAGTATATAATAGATGTTGTAAAAAGAAATCCATTATTTTTGCATGAAATTGAAGGCTTATTTACCATAGTTAGAATGATCCGATTAGTCAATTTTGAAGGTAATTTTATTATGCCTCCCTCATTGAAGTCCTTATCCCTATTGGCAAAAAATTTAGACAGTCGATTTTCCATCCTTTATTTTTAGAACAAAGTTTCATCTTATAATGCCGCCTGGCATAACCCGATCGAACTTTTACAACGCGGAATACGGTTAACTAAAGCCATCTATTGGGAAAATAATGGATTTCTTTTTACTACACCTAATATTAAGAACTATTAAAGAACACAGATTACAAAAAACTATAGATCATCAAGGTGAGATTTTACCTTTATCAGTGCTATATCATTGAAAGCATACCATATAAAACATTGTGTTGAATGATGAAAATTCATTTATTTGTAGGAAGTTGAAGTTGAGGTTGAAACATAATTCAAATCTCTTAATGTCACATTAATAATTTTAAAATATTTTTAAGCAAATTTTTTAACACAAAAGGTCACTTACTTCGTCCTGCGTCCTTTTTGTGTTGTTGCCTAATTTACTTTATGTGTTCCACTCGATGTTTTATTAAGGGCAAAGCAAAGATTATGCATATTGGCTTTCAGAATAACAAACTCACAAACTCACAAACTCACGAACCCACTCACTTTCATTGCCACATTAGTCATGGTTTTTGATTTGACTTAGTAAAGCCAGCTTTACCCTTTTTAATTTTTCTCTTTATTCATTTTTTAATCATGATTCCTTCAGTTTAACCAGTTTAACCATTTTCATTACCACGGAGGAGAGAACAGGGCAATCGAAGTTTTAGTGCCATTCCTCGCAGACAAGGACTAATACTCTTTGTGTGGTTCTATGTGCGCGGCGTACCTTCCTGGCATGCTCTCTGTATTTGCTCATTATTTCACTTTTTGTCGCATTTCTTTGGTTCCGAAGCTATTCTCGTGGGTTCTGTGCAGTTCTGTGCTTCTGTGTTTTTTTTTTTCAATTTTTCTTTTTTTTTTTGTTCCTTTGGTTTTATTATATTTCAGATATTTTTGCAATTATTGCCCGGTAACTTTTCGGTTTGTAATCTTGATATTTACTTGAATAAAATAATTTCATAAAGACGCGGTCTACCATTTTAATTGAAATTCAAGAGGGCAATTCATTTCAACTCAATTTTAAATATTAGTTTGCTCAAACAAATCCAAATGGACTGCAACTTAAACGGCTCTCGCCCTTATCTAAACGAATTTCCATTAAAATCACAGAAGCAACAAACACTTTCAAACCTTTCTTGCTCAATGCCATTGCGGGTCATTATGTATGGACATTAGCGAAAAATTTGTAAGGACTGAATACAAGGCTTAATTAAATTTTATATAAATCTCAGAAAAATCAACCCGTGAAAGAGTTCTATTATAATTGCATTTAGATCAAGTTTTAATAGATTTTTGTTGGTTCTGTAAATGCTTGCTTTAATGAAAGTACCATGAAAGCGTTCCGAATTCTTGCAGTTCAATTGATAAATCACTAAATTAAGGGCTTTGAGACTCAGATCTTTCATATATTATCAGAAATAAATGAATAAAATTTGGTTGCTTCAAAGAAAACCCATATAGTTATTGCATTTCAGTGGATAAATCTGTTAAGTTAGATTTCAGTCTTTCTCAAAGAAGAATATTTTAGTAACCTTATTATACCTTATCCTTTACTTCTAATAATCAATTAAGGTTCAATAAATTTTTGTTTCTAATGCTAAACTTTTGTAGTATTTACACTTACTATATATAAATTACTAAACTCAGACTTCCGGAGTTACATCCTCCGGTTATGTTATAACCGAATCTTTTACTTTCAGTTACAATTAAAGTTTGTAAATCTTAATATGTTGGATTATTAATCTCTAAAGCCAGAATTCTGAATTCAAATCCTTAATATATAAAACTCGGATCTCCTACACATCAAAATTTGATGGCTTTTTACCAGAATCTTTGACTTATAATTATAAATAATAAATAGATTATTATATGAATCTTAATTGTCTTAGTTGCCTCTAGAATAGCTTTGTGATTTTTATACTTCAGTATATAAATCCTTTATATTAGTGTTTAGCACCTATATCTCCCATATGCAATATTACACCTAAGTCTTTTACTAATAATTAAAATTTGCATCACTTTCCCTTTGTGACTTTCCCTCTTAGGTGGAGTAGTAAGCCTTTTTAATCAATTTAAGTTGAACTGTGTTATGAGAATAGATAATGATGTCATGCCATAAGTAATCTGTGTCCTTCAATTTGCATTCCACTGTTCTTCTCCAAGTCATGGCTGGCGTAACAGGTTGTCAGCACATTGGAGATTCCAGTTTAGTGCTTGCAGTTCTGCATTTTTTCTGTTGCACATCCGCTGCTCATAATTTTACTATCTCCCATTCTTATTTCTAGACCAGCCTGTGAAGAGTTTGTGTATAATTAAATTAAAATAATTTAAATAATATAATATTAATATAAAAAAAACATGATAATAATATATAAAAAATATAAATTAAGTATATGTATTATAATATATTAGAAGTAAATTTGAGAAGTTGACTTTTACAGATGTTAAGCGACGTTAAAAGTTACACTAATGCTGCTGGTTCCTTACGATCGGCATATACTATTTTTTATACATTTGGTTCAAGTATTAATCCTGTTTTAACTGCATTAGCAAGACGTCATCACAGCATCTTCTCTTCGTGCAACTATGAAAAACAAAACAGGTGAAATCTTTAGTTCTTTTAAAAGTTTTAAACTTAAAGAAGCAGCTGACAATATTTTAGCTTGGGCGAAGACGAACAGAAGATATTCTTTTAAGAAAATAAAACTAAGCTATATAATATTATTAGAGTCTCCAAATATAAAAATATTTAAAATGACGACATCGTAAATATTGATTGACGCTTTTTGTTCATTTCTTCTTGTTTTCATACATGAATTCTTAATGAATGTTTAGCAAACATCTGCTAAAACGCTAAAATTTATAATGAATAAGGAACTAGGCACTTCGTCTTTGGCGTATGAAATGGATTTTGCAAAGTTTCATCTTGAGACCAATGGTTTTCTATTAGTAGCGACGACGGAGAACCCAAAACCTAAGTTGAAGTAGCAGCTTTGTATATTTAAGCCCACTTGAGTACAAACAATGTACTAACGTTATATCAAAAATACATACGAATATAATAAATTTATTTATTATAGTTTTAAAGGGAAAGAAGTAAAGCAGGACTAAAATTATCTCTGATATATTGTTTTTTTAGTTTTCGCGAATCATGCAAAATGCATTATATATTATGTATTAAGAGTAAATGCAATAACGCAATTGATGATTTTTATTGGCAATATATAGGACTGCTATGTTGTCCTATATATATATTGTCCTATATATTGATATTAATTCAATTTAAGCATTGGCAAAATTACCTACGTATGCTAACAGTTTCGCCCTGTGGATGAGATACTAACGAATCAATCCAAATAAATCCAAGCAATTTCCGATCATATTTATTACTAAAGGATTTAGTTACTCACCTGTCTCAATAAGTTCAATACAATTATTACAGACTATAATGACAAAATACTTGGAAATTTAACTGGATAGGAAATTGACTTGATGAACTTACCTCTCCAACTATTATAAGGCATTTTATCTTATATTAAGAAACTTATTTCAGTTTGTCGATTGAAATAATGAATTATCATGAATTAAAAAACATGCTTTTGATTTATTGTGAAGTGCTCTCATATCAAATATATCTGGAATTACGGACTACAGCTATGTGAAAGTATCGCAAAAAGAAAAAATATTGTCAAAAAATATGCTAATACTAATCCAACTTAATTTACTCAAGGATGAAAACTTGTAATTTTCATAAGAATGAAACCCTTGTTTGTTTTCTTTCCCAGCTTATTCTTCCCAGAATCGTTTTCGCATTAGTTTAGATTGGCTTACTTTTCTATTGGCATCCTCAACCATTCTTTGATTTATGATCTGAGACTTCGTCTATTTTAATGTATTTTTTGGTGTCTGCTCTATTTATAAGCCTAGTTACTGATACTTTTTTCTAGAGCTGATCTCTTGGCTTTGAGTACTTTAGTCACGTATGACTCTA